CAAACACACTAATACAATATTGGTGGAGGAATGAATTGGCCTAATTATTCTGCAAAATAATTTGAAACTAAAATAGGAAACAGACTAAATTATTCATACTTTCTGCCCTGGTGATCCCACTGCTAAGCATATGTGTGTGGGTAGATAGATATAGATAGATAGATATAGATATAGATATAGATATAGATATAGATATAGATATAGATATAGGTATATATGATATATAGATATAGATATAGATATAGATATAGATATAGATATAGATATAGATATAGATATAGATATAGATATAGATATAGATATAGATATAGATATAGATATAGATATATATGATATATAGATATAGATATAGATATAAAAAGGAGGCTAAAAAGCACACAGAGAAAAAACTAATAGATAATCATAACAAGAACGTCAATAATGATAACAGCATTTATATAGTCCTTTAAGATGTGAAAAGTATTTTATATATGTCAATTGTTACTCACAAAATTCCAGGGAGATAAGTGCTATTATTTTCTCCCTTTTATAGAAGTGAAAACAGAGAGGTTTGGTACTTTCACCAGGGTCAAACAGCTAGGAAGTGACTAAGGCAGGATGCAAACTCAGGTCTTCCTGACTCCAGTGCTCTATCCATTATGCCACCTAGCTGCCTCAACATATGTATTTTGATGTCCCTCTATCTATCTATTGATAAACAGACACGTGTGCACACACATACACATATAGTTCATGCACACACTGCACATAGATATATAAATGACTATACACATACAGGTACATAGGTTTACGTATGCATACAATATGTTCATTCTCTACACACACATATGTATGTGTGTCAACACATGAACACAAAAATATTCAAAGAATCACTTTTTAAGGTAGTAGGATCCTTTATTTTTTTTCTTTTTGATTTACAGACCAGTCTTGGCGATCTATTTTAGGCTTCAGTTTAGTTCTGGCTTCATAACAGAAAGAAGGAAAGGGTGAGGATAAATCCCTCTCCCCCTGCTCCCCCAGCCCCTAACTTCATAATGGCAAAAAGTCTCTGGAAAAGCTGATCCCTGAAGAGTCTGAGGGAAGCCTGACATACAGTAAAGACCAACTCAGATATTCCTGAGAAGAGAGACTGTCTTCAACAGTGCCTTGTGTCCTGCCTCATGATCTGACAAATCCATTTTGAAGCTGGATCCACCCATCCTTCCTCCCCTCCAAAAAAGACAAACAAAAAACAAAATGAAAAATCATGTTTTGAAAATAAAGTAGGCCCCCATCAAATAATGAATGGCTGAACAAATTGTGGCATATGAATATAATGACAATGACAGCATTGCTGGAAGAAACAATTTGTGGGAAGATTTATATGAACTGATACAGATTATAATAAACAGAACCAAAAGAATAATACATGCCACAGCCATAACAATGAAAAGGAAAACAATGCTAAAAACTATCAAAATTCAAGTCAATGCAATAGTCAGTCACCTACAGAGGATTAATGATAAAATATACATTCCTCCTCTCTGTAGAGAGATGATGGAAAATAAGTTGATAGATGTGGTCAATGTGTTCATTTGTTTGGTTTAACTGTACGTCTTTGTTATAAGGGAGGGTTTTATTGGAGGTAGGGGGTTGTTGGGAAGGTGACAATGATGTAAATGAAATAGAAATAATAGAAATAATATGATCAAAGAAGTGGTGAAGAGTAAGAAAACTGGAAAGATTCTAAGAGGAAAAGTGACCTCCGAGGCTACCTGGCACAATCTGTCCCTGAACAAAAATCATCTCAATCTCCTAAATGAAAAATGGTCACCAAACCTTGGCTTGCAAATCTCCAGTGAGAAGGAAACTGCTCCCTCCTGATACAGTAATACATCGTTCTTTGGGGGAACTCTGGTGATTAGCCATGTCATCCTTTTATCAAGACTTTTTGACTCTGCAACTTTCACCCACTGCTGCTAGGTTTATCCTCTGGGGCCAAACATAAGGCATCTAATCCCTCTTTGGCCTGAGGACCTTTCAAATTCTATCACAGTCTTCCCTAAGCCTTCTTCTTCTCAAAGTTAAACATGTCTAGTTCCTTTAACTAATCTTCATGGTACATGATCTAGACAAGAAGACTTTCAGCATCTCCAAAGCCCTTTCTAGACAGGTTTTCTCTCTCAACACCTCCCAGATCTTTTCTACAACACCCTCATCAGACAGTTACTTAGCCTCTACTTGAATGCTCCCTGTGACAGAGAGTTTATCATTATTCTATGGATCATTACTTAAATCTCAGTATTGCAAATATATCAAAATTGGAGACTTGGCAGTTCAATAAGGAGAAGCTGAAAGACATACCCAAAGAACTAAAGATTAAAGATTAATTCTACATCCATTTATATATACACCCATATGTATAAATACATATATCATATATAAAAGAAATATGATACATAACATGTATGATATATGTAAGAAAAAAGAAAGATGGATCTTAGAAATGATAGAGAGATGACTGATAGATGAATAGGTATCAGGTAACCAAGTTCTTAATCCCCACCTGTACTATACTATCTTACCCAAAAAGTATTTAGGAATGGCACCTAATGGCATCCATTATGTCTACATAATGTCAAACCATTTAATGAAATCTGAAATATCCATTCACTTTTTTTTCCTAAGATTCCAGGTGTCTAGTGTTAGTAAGTTATTGCTTGAGTGATACAGGAATTGAGCAGATTCTAATTTCAACTGCATTATTCACTTGCTGTATGGTTTTGAAAAGGTTATCTAACCCCTCTGAGCCTATTTCCCTATAGATAAAAGAAAATAATCACATCCCTGAGCAGTGCCTATACCCACTGAGAGCCCACATGTAATCTTTCCTTCTGCACCTCTCCCTTACATTTGTTACTAGGATTGATAAGGATGATGTCAAACAACCACTGTAGGGAGCCAGGAAAACTGGCAGGTATCCTTGTTTATACATGTCTATTCAATGTAGATATGTGGGACCTGATTTTCTAAAAAATTTCCCTTAGAACATAAGAATCCAAACTGAAAGGGACATTAGACACCATTTAATTCAATGCTGTCATGTTACAAATGAGGAGATTAGATGACTTCCTAAGGTCACACAAGTAAGAAGACTCAGACACAGTACTTGAACACAGATCATCTGACTCCAAAAAAGATCCTAATACCCTGGATGGCAGGATGAATTAAAGAAACTAGGGATGTTTACCTATGAGAAGAATTTAGGAAAAACAATGAATCACAGAATTTTAACACTAGAAATATTCTCAAAAGATGTCAAATACAAGCTATAATGGATAAAGAACTGCCTCTAGAAATAATTAAAAAGAAAATAAAGAGGACCCATACTGGTGTGGTGGCAGTGGAATTAGGAAGGAGAATATAGACTTAAGAGAATAATTCCATACTGTAGTTGTTAGAATGTAGCTGGGGTTAAGCTGGAATTCAGAACATATCTGATGTGTTGTAGAAGGAAAAAGAGAAGAAAGAGGAAAACAAAATATTTAGATATATGTAGGAAGATATCTGATTTCTTCTACAGAATATCACCCACTATGAAATGGAAATTAGTATAAAGTTCTTCTTAAGTCTTACCCTACACGGTTTATTACTGGAAACACTTTGTTTATCACATTGTTTAACCTTTTGGTCCATGCTGAAGGACTGTATTATAGGTTACTTTTACAAGAAGTTTCTAATGTATTAAGGAAAAGATTAGCATCCACCAGGAATTTAAGCTATTATAAGAAAATCAATAACAGCAGAGATTAGAAGAGCTAAACATACAAACTAAAGAAATTTCAATTAAATCTTTAAGACATTTTGTTTAAAAAGAGTAAAGTGGAGAGTCCAATACATATTTGGAAGTTAGTTACATGCTATAGTAGGAGGAAAGAACTATGATTGAATATGACAACTGGCATAAGACACACAGTCAATTCTCTATCTATAAACTGTATTTGCCAAAAAAAAAAAATCTAAATGCTGATTCAAATTGTGAAAAGTGCAATTCACTATTCCTAGTTCAGAACTGGGCAGATGGGCAGAACTCTTCAAAGACACAGATAGCCTGGTGGCAGAATCAGGCAGCTATTTAAAGTATAATTAGTTTCTTCTCCATATATTTCCTTTTGTGCTATATGGTTTTATGTACATTGCTACTGAAACCTGATGGAATTTATTTTAATTTGGTCCTCAAGCTTTGTACAAACTTGTGTACAAGTCTACAATCTTTGACTAAAATTTTTAATTTCTTCCAAGATCTTACAAAACTAAAAACCAGTAAATCACAGAATCAGACTTTTGGTGTCTGAACTGATCTAACAAAATCTGCATCTTACAGAAGAGAGAACTGAGGCATAGAAAGGAGGAGTGATTTGTCTAAGGTAACAAAGTGACTTAATGAAAGAGCCAAAAGTTATATAGGAACTTTGGGTTTCATAGTTCCTTTGAAAGAAATGATGCCAATAAAATTGAAAAGGCTCTTCAAAAGGGAAGATTATAGAATAATGAAAGCTCTTGAGATGGAGGGAACAACAAAGCCTATCTCATGGTTAGTAAGAAAAGTAGCTTCAACTCACTGACAAAATGATTTTTAGGATACCTAGGGTTACCCTAATTTTGACAGAAGCAAATGATAATCAATTTGAAAAAATACATCTGCTAGAAGAAAAAGGTTATTTTATCTGACTAGATAAACTCAGAACATCTACAGCCTTATTCTTAACCTTACACTTTAATAATTAATAGCACTGGCCTGAAAGAGTTAATGCAGCTTCCAAGCTTACAAATATGGAGCAACTTAGGCTAGAAAATGTGGCTTATTTATCTTACAAAAAAAAATAGAAAGGCCATTATTGTAGTATTATTTTAACATCAGGAAAATAGTTTCTCAGTAAACTATATTTTATTATATCAGTATCAATCAGGGTAAAAAAGAAATATCTTTCTTTAGTAGGGAATAAAAATGTAACACTTACTTAAATGGTGTAAATAAAAATGGCAGTGTAACTTCCTTTTTCTGAGTCATTTTAATCTGAAAATCAAGTATAAAAAATGATTAGGATACAGTAAATGAGAACTTCCTTTTTCTGAGTCATTTTTATCTGAAAATCAAGCATAAAAAATGATTAGGATACAGTAAATGAGAACTACATTCCATCACTTTCATTTTTAAGTATGAAAGGGGATATGAAATAGTTCTTTAAAATTTAAATACTTCAGAAATTGACAGTAAATAAACAGTCATTAAGTACCTACTATACACCTTTTCTCTATCAAGGTCAACCCCTGTACTTGCATCCTTGCATCCCACCATCTTCTCTGACAAACTGGCCCACAATCATCTTTCCTCTTTATGCCTGCCACCCACAATAGTCAATCTCTCCCAATATCTGGGCTTATTCTCTGTTGTTTACCAACATGCCCAAATCTTCCCATCCTTAAAAAAGCCTCACTTGATCCTTCATCCCCTCAAGCTATCATCGTATCTCTTCTCCCTTTCATAGCCAAACTCTTAGAAAAGCTATCTGCTCCCATTGTCTCCATATTCTCTGTACTCACTCCCTTTTCAAACCAAATTTTGGCCTGAGACTATAAGAAAACTAAACTTATCTGGAGATTTTGCAACTGTCAAGATCTCACCCAGAGGTCCTTAAGATAATTTTTACACTAAAAACAATCATTGAGTTGCATCCTTACTTGCTCAAGATAAAAATATTGTATCCTTACTTATAACTTTGCATGTAGATGTTAAACCAGAGACAACCTCTTAGATTGCTCTGAAAGTATAAAAGCGTATCATGTCTGATATTCAGAGCTATTTCTGTCACCACCTGGATTTAAGAGATCACCTTCCTTGAAATTATGATTTAATAAATTGTTATAAAATTAAGTAACTCTCATGTGTTGTTATTATTATTACTTTTTGGCAAGGCAATCAGGGGTAAGTGACTTGCCAATGGTCACACAGCTAGTAAGTGTCAAGGGTCTGAGACTAGATTTGAACTCACGTCCTCCTGACTCCAGGGCCAGTGCTCTATCCACTGTGCAAGCTAGCTGCTCAAATTTTATAAACTCTTGATTCTAATAGATCTTTGTAGTCCCACAACCTAGTTCATTGCCTGGTATGTAGTGTGCACTTTATGAATGGCTGATGATTTATTGATTTAAAGAGAAAATAGTTGCTGGGGTAGAAATGAGAAGCATGAGAAATGACAACTCCATCTTAGAATATGGAATACACAAGAGAGGAAATCTGAGCACAGTCTGACAAGTACCCTAGATGTTAGGCAAGTAGATTTCTAAGGTTTTGGAGAGAGAATATGAAGGATCTTTTGGGCTAACATCCTAAAGAGATAGTTAGTGCAGAAGGGATAGGAAGTTTTTTAGGAGGGATACATAAGAATGAAATTCTGAAGATGAGTTAGATTCTGTGGTACTCTGCCCTGGTCAGACCATATTTGCAGTTCATGATGTCATGGATAGACAGCTGGCCTTTAAAGCCAAGAAGACCTGGGTTTCACTTCCAATATACGATGACTTTATGTCCCTGGGGAAGTCAAATAACTTTTCAACGGTTGAGGCTACACTATAAGACTGTAAATTACAGATAAGGTGCTGACTTGACTTAGTTTCCTCATTTGGGAGTTCTCTGTACCAGTGAAATCAGAGGTGTCATCTCTCTCCCAGTAATCATTTAAAAGCAAACTTCAAGGTCTGACTTGTGTTTTCCTAGATGTGTCATTTGTCCCTTTTCATATGTTGCTTACCTTAAACTGTTCAAGAATCTGTAGTGCATTTGTGAGCATGCTCTCAGCTTTGAAAAGATCACTATTGTTAAGATAATCCAGAGGCAGGATTCCCTGAAGACATTAAAGATTAGGTACTGGTTAGCTTCAGATCATTCACATAAAAAGAGATTCATGAAGTAAGCAATAGAATGAAGATGAATTATAATGAGCAAAACAAATAAATAAGGAATACCTGTTTCAAAAGAATAACAAGCCTTTTCTCTAATTATTCTTACAGATGAGAAATAAATATAAGCAAAGTATCATCACCATCTTCAGTAGTGCAAATACATGAACTAAAAAGAACCAGTCCTTACCTGAAGAAGTGTATAATATGAAATAGATAATTCAGTTTCAAACAGGAGAAAGGAAAGAGCTTCATAACACCAACAAAATGAAGAAAAAGAGGTGGATGTGGATTAAGAGGAAATGGGTTTAAATTTAGACTCTGCTACTTACTACCTTCATGACCTTGGGAAATCACTTAACCTCTCTGTTCTCTCACCTGTAAAAGCGAAGGGGCTGGATTACATGCCCTCTGAGGTTCCTTCCAGCTCAATCGATGATCCCAGGTATAACATTTAATGTGTAATAAGCATTGAGGTGAGTGTTTATTTTGCACAAAAAAAGTAACACGTGAATATCACATGGTGAATGGGAGTGGAATCCAGAAGAATACTATCACCTCCATTCCAGGTAGAAGGAAAAAATTGTGGAAATGTTTTAAAAGATTTTTGAATGATTGAAGGGATAGATCATGACCTGGCCTTGTCTATGCTTCAGGCAAGAAAAAAGGTAACAAATGGGATCAACAGACCAAAGTTCACCTCAATAATTTAGAAGGAGAGGAGAGGGGGAAAGGGAAGGAAATAAGCATGTATATACTGCTTACTATGTGCCAGGCACTGTGCTAAGCACTTTTTACAGATATTATCTGATTTGATCCTCACAACAATTCTGTGAAGTAGATGCTGCCATTTTACAGTTGAGGAAACTCAAGCAAATAGAGTTTAAATGTCTTTCCCAGAGTCACACAGTTAGTAAACATCTGAGGCCTTATTTGAACTCAACCATTCCACATCCCCAGGCCCAGTGCTCTATCCACTGAGCCACTTAGCTGCTTCAAACATTGTAGTAGTCAATAACAGTTTTGTAATTCAGCACAGCCTGGAAAGGCTCAAAGTAAAGAAGTTTAGTTCAGTTATAGAGAGCAATAAATTTTTAAAAGACAGGGAAGAGGGCATAATGGTAGCTAGGGAAAATACGTGGTTGCAGCAGGCAAGACTAACTATAAGAAAAATATTGACAAATAAGGCAATAGGAAGATTACTGTAATAGTTTATATGAGGGATGAAGAGATTCTCATCAAGATTTGAAAACATGATGTAAATAAAAGCAGAAGCATTTAGCTGCAAATAGGTATCAGAAATCAGTGATAAAAGTGAAAGATAATTCCATGATTACAAGGAAGACAAATGTAATGGCAACAGAATCCAATGTAGTGGAGAACCTGGGGCGGGGGGGGGGGTGGAGGAGGGAGAGGAAACCAGTTGAAGTCCTGTCTTCCTTTCCTTCCTCTCCTACCAATGGAAGGAATTTGAGTGTGATAGGAAAAAATATGTGCCATTCACATTCATACTAAAATTTGCTTACCTGTAAGTACAATCAACAACCTTACACAATGGCCTGGGTATAAAAGTTTGCGACCCTCTGCTATAAGAAAGTAGGTGAAAATGCACCAGAATGAGAACTGTATGAATTACTAGAGAAATAGAAATGAAACTTGAAGTCCAAAGTTCCAAAGAATAGTAGTGCGGAGTAGTTTGTGAACAAATAAGAGTAACAAGAAGACTGAGTGAATAAAAAAACTGCCATGAAGATGGCCACAAAAGTTTATTTGTAAATAATGAGATTATTATAAAAAGAATGGTGATTTATAGTTCTTCCCTTTCACTGCAAACAGAAAAATGAAACAGGCTTCATATACAACAGAAGGACTTAATATTAAATGCAAATGAAAAAATTTGAGAGAGCTGCTAAGTATCTGATTCTCCTTCCCCCAGGGTTTAAAAAAATGAAATAACTCCTGATGTATCTAGCATGGTTCAAGAGTACTCCTACCTTAGGGCTGAACTGGTGACCACAGGGAGACTACTCTGACATTACAATTCTACAATATGATGGAATTTTTATACACTGTGGCAGCAGTCCTATTTCTATCTGGGACAAAGCTCTCATTTCTCATGTAACACTGTGTATTATAAATAGGCATGAGAATTTATTAAGAGTCACAGACTCATGGAGCCTTTACTGGTGTTCCACTTTTTACATAAAGACTCAGTGCTTCTTATTCAAATCACCTTCTCCAACAAGTATCCATTGCCCTATTCTTAGACTAAGCTCCAAGAAACATGGAGAGAAACTTGCTTTTATGTGACAGTTTCCTACAATGGAATGAACAGAGCATTCTCCTTCTTTTACTACCTATTCTATCTATACTACTCTCCTTTTATTATATAAAGAATATGGCCAGGATTAAAGCATATAAACATTTTCTTGAAAAAGTGCTGTAAATACAAGGAGAAAAACTGCAAAACTAACCTTGTAAAGTGGTTGTCAGACATTTAAAAAACAAATTGGGAGAAACAGCATAATGTAGTCTGACTAGGGTTGTAGTATGCAACAATGAAAATCATCCTACATATTGAGGCAGAGGACCTGGGTTCAAATCCTAGTTCTCCTACTTAATTACTAGTGAATCCTAAGCAAATTACTTACCTATTCTTGGCCTCAGTTTCTTCATCTGCAAAATGATGGAACTGGCTGGCCCAGATGACCTCTCAGTTCTCTTCAGGATCTAAACTTGGGATCTTAAGATTCTAAAAACCTAGGCCTTTGTGCTTGCATATTTAAGCCTAATCCATGAACAAATTAATTATTTTGTTTGTAGATTATTTTAATTCCTCGCACTTGTTTTTTAGCTGCCAAATAGTAACTTCTCCATAATGGAGTGTCAAGACTGCAGGAAGAGGAGATAAAAAAGGAGTAATAAAATGATCAGTGGGTATATCTAATAATGATAAAAATTATCAAATGGAGGATTGTCAATAGAGTTCAATCACCTTTATCAGGACCTACCTCAATGTCAAGAATGACAATTACAAGTTGGCTAAATGGCCCACCTTTCAACAAATTGTAAACTATGTTTGTATTTCCTTAAAACCTAAGAAGTACCAATAATATATATAAAAAGCATATAATGTAATATAATAAATATATATATAGATATAGATATAGAGATATAGAGATATATAGAGATATAGATAGATAGATAGATATAAAAAACCAAAATCATATCAATGATTCAGTCAGCCCAAAATTCTGAGACAGAATTCTGTATGTTCATCAGGAAAGTGTATAGATATCTGAAGAATTCAAAACTTTCTTCAAAAGTGAGATTTTTAAAACCCACAGATATCACGTTCTGGTTCATTACTATAAAGTCTTATTTTCCTATACTTTATTTAGGGTATCTAGGGGAAGCAAACATAAAAGTAAACCGAAGAAATCAGAATAATTGACTCTGAGATTTGCAAGTGACCCTCCAAAAGGCCATCTGATCCAACTTGTACCTGAACCTGGCTCTACAACATGTCCAATTAGCAGGCATCTGGTCTTTGCTTGAAGAACCCTACTTAGACAGAACCCACTCTTACTAAAGGTAGTAATCCATTTTCAGATTATTCTAACTTTTAAACTTTCTTTAAATCAAGGTTAAATCTGACTTTTTGTAACTTCTGACCACTGCTCCTAGTTCTATCCTTTATGGCCAAACAGAACATATTTAATCCCTTTTCCATAGGACAGCTGTTCAAATGATTAAATACAGGTATCATAGCCACCTTGCCTCTTTCTTCTACAGGTTAAATATGTTCAATTCCTTCAACCAGTCAGAATACAGTATAATCAGGAGGCAAATCCTGATTTTGCTCCTCTGGACACTCTCCACCTTGAGCTTATAGTCCACTAAAACCCACAAAATGTGTTTAATTTCTCTTCCATATGATAGCCCTTCAAATACCTAAGACAACTATTAGGTCTACTACGAAAGCTATATATCCTCAGTTATTTCAACTCATGCTCATATGGCATGATCTAGAAGCCATTCCTGGTTGCAGCTTACTTAGGACCCCACTGGGGAGACAGGAATAGACAGTAGTTGTTGGTCTGAAAAGATCTAGGGGTTTTGGGTAACTTCAGAGTGATGTGGTGGAAAAGAAAAGTGATGTAATCTTGGGCTATCCTAAGAAAGGCATACTGTCTAAGAAATGGGAAATTATTTGACTGGATAATGATCAGTTGAAGAAATACAAGATATTTAGCCTAGAAATAGAGGGAAGACATGAGAACTGTCTTTGAATATTTGAAGGGCTGTTGCATGGAAAGCCAATTAGATTACTTTCTTGTTGATGCCCATCAAGAGAATTTGGAGTAATAAGAGAAAACTGCAGAGAAGCAAATTTAGGCTGCTATTAGGAAAAACTCTATAAATTAGAGCAATCAAAGAGTAGAATTGGCTGACTTGAGAGGTTGGGATTCTCTCTCACTGTAGGCATTCAAGCATTATCTTGTAGAAGAGATACTTGTATTAGGCAGGATTGGTCTAAGAGACCTCTGAGCTCCCTTCCAGGTCTGACATTCTCAGGGAAGGTGTTTGTACTTGCCTTATGAAACTGGAAGGAATACTCTAAATGGGTAACTCTGTCAGTAGGAAATTCAAATAACTGTTGGTGAATAAGACTGAGAATGGTTTACAGTACACATCATAAAGCGAAGGTCAACATTTGGGAGCAAGCTGATAAAAGGAGCAAGGGAAGATTAGCCTGACTGAGAAGACAGAAGTAAGGAACAAGGAAAAAAAGGAATAGGCCATGGTATGGAGTTTTAACTTACAATTAAAATATTTTTATTTATTTTATTTAAAAATCAACTCTATATTTAAATGCTAAGGGTACTTCTAATTTACAATATGAAAAAATTACAAATGACAAAATTTACAAATTCTCTTTAGAAATCACAATGGAAAGATAATGTGGTCAGATTTCATTAATTAGGTGACATATTTTTAAAAGTGAAGAGATTTTCAAAAGTTATAATAAAAATTTAAGGTTGTTTTATTCTTAAGAAACTAGCAAAAGCGGCTAGATTATACATTTCATTATTTCAGGTCAAAATGCTTTATATACATGATATTAATCTATGTCCCTTAGTGAAAAGGAATTATATAATTTTAAAAGATGTCTGGTTTAGTAATATTAGTATTGCAAATAATGATGCTTAATGATTTTAAAATAATATATATTTATAAAATACCTGAGATGCTACTGTTACAATATTTGCCAAGATAATTATGAATAATTCATCTTAAATATAAATTCTATTAATTTAAAAGAATAAAAAGAAATACATGCAATTCAGTCTAAATTTTACTATGCACTAATTTATCTTAGAGCTAAAGTTGATAGATAATAAAACTAAATTCCTTACCACAGAATTAAGGGGAAAAGGAACTCCAATGAGGGATGCCATCAATGGTGCTATGTCAGCCTAAAAACATAAAATGTTCAGCAGTTAGGATGTGACAAAATATTAGCAAAGCTTATTAAGAAATTTTGTGCATTAACAAAGAGGCTCTGTGATGTACTGGATGGAGAACATTGGTCTTGGATTGAGGAAGACCTGAGTTCAAGTCTGGTTTCTGAAACATACTGACTGTGTGGTCCTGGGTGAGTCACTTAACAACTCAATATCTCAGGCATTCAGGCAAGGTTCTGAGATTAATGTACAGATGAATGGTTAGAGGGAGCTTCCCTAAACCAGTACAATCATAAGTTTAGGCCAAAAACAAAAAACAAAACCTCCACATTCAACTCAACAAAGCTACATTATGGAATTCAATTTGCTGGCATTCTGATTAAGATCTCATGAAAGTGAAAGCCACATGAAATAAGAACCTCATCAAATTGCTAATTAGCTGAAAGTCAATGTTGTATTCTATAATGATTTCCTTTGTGACATATGGAGCAACCAAGAGCCTGAGTGCCTCCATATTTAGACTGAAGATAATTATGTGGAAATACATGTATCTGAGTAACAAATATAACTCAGTAGTATATTTATTTAATTTCCTATAATAATGAAGGGCTAACACATTTTACTCCAAAATGATAGCGGCATTTTTGTACCTGCTATATTAAAATAGTAGGATGCCTTGTTTAGCCTCCATTCCCTCTTTCAAATTATCCACACCTGAACTTAGCACTAAAGGGCAACTCACTTTTTGAAATCAGTCAAGGAAATAAATACTGAATATGCCTCATTAGGTATGATATAAATATGAATTACTCGAATAACTCAGAACCCAAACAAGTCTCCACAAGTACTACTTTGAGACTCCATCATGACTTAGGGATGTCCACAGTTTTGTATTTAGTAAATGTTTTATGATTAAAAAAAAAAACAACCTGCCAACTCTTGTAAGTGTTATACCTACAATATCTCATGCAACTATCCTTCTCTTCACTCAAACTGCCATTCCCCCAGAACCATATCACCCCTCATCTATACTATTCTAAGAGCCAATTTTCTTTACTTTCAAAATAATTTTTCTAAGGCACAGTTCTGGTGCATCCGTCCTCAGTTCAGAAATTTTTAGTAGCACCCTATTACTTGCAGGATAAAATATAAACTGCTCCACATGGCTTCTGAAGTCTTCTACAATCTGATTTCAACATTGTATCTTATATAGATATAAGAGCCTTATATTTCATTTTACTCTCATTAAAACACTAATCCTGGACAAACTAAACTACTAAATATTTCCCAAACTGGACATTCCATCTCATCATTCTGTCCCTTTGCACAAACAATGCCCAGTGAGTAGATTGTACACCCTTCTTATCTCTGTCTAAAGTTCTATCTTCATTCAAGATTCAGCTTAGTTTTAGAATCAGGAAACGAAAGAGGACTAAAGCTTACAGATTACTTAGAATCTTTATGACTGGTACACCACAAACACTTTCTTTAAGAAAACACTGAGAAGGTTCTGGACCTATCAAGTACAAACAGCATCATGAAAAAGAATATATCTCAACATACAGGAAAAACGATATAAGATTCATTTAAAAATTGACTCTCTTGGTGTGGACACAACGTGAAGAGGCTATAGCAAAAGCCAAAATCAACAACAAACAAAAGACAAAGATAAGAGGGAGACAATGCTTCTCATTAGAACAACTCCGACATACAATAAAAACAGGTTAGTGATGATGGAGATGGGAAGTGGATACAGGAAAAAATATCAACACAGACATCTGCTATTTCCTACCCAAGTTTAATTGATGAAAAACAATGCAAAAGACCAAAAGCCCAGAAATTACTTTAGCCAGCAAAACTTGATTTTTCTGCCAAGTGGAGAAACATGGAAACCTTGTTATCACCAATTCAGAGTATGAGCTCATTTGCAAACATTATGAAGAATGACAGTGGAAGACTAGGCAGTATGGCCTCAAAAGAATGTTAGAGAGGAAAAGAAGTCTACCACAAATTTGGCATGAGCCTAATTAAGCCAGATCATCCCCAAAACACTGTGGATGAAACTAGGAAAACAATATATAGATGAAACATGGTATAGATCTGTCAGCATTTCTCTATCAAATTATTTTCATCATTGATGATAATAGCACTGCCACAATTGGAATCCAAAACTTAAGTGTCTTGTGTAGTATATATGATGGAATAGAAATTGCACTCAAGAAGACAAAGCTACAATGTACCAAAACAAGAATACACAGAAGACATCACTGGTAGATGTGAAGAAAGTTTTAAAGCAATAAGGAATTGATTTAAAGATACGAAAAAGAGAAAAAAAATCAAGCAATGAGGGAAAAAAAGTCAATATTTTAAAAAAACAGATGAAGAGAATATCAATAATTATTAGCTACATATCTATTAATCTTATCTCTGAAAAATACTTATGAATGTGCTACCCACACAATGAGAATATCCTCAGTTGAAAACAAGAGAAGGGAAAAGATAGGTATTTGAAAACAGTTTTCTAAAGTAAATCACACATATGGCTGACTAAAGGGCATAGAAAGCATAAAACCTCATGGTGTTTCTTTTTTGCTGACTATAAAAAAGCATGATTCAAATAGAAAAAAGTACAACCTTGAAGCTTTTCCTCCAACTGATGTCTCTCATGTGTGTGAAAATATACCTCCAACTAGTATCTTTCATGAATATTATGAGAACATATGAGGTTCCTTGATAAATGCTACCACAAGATAATTTTGTTCAGGGATCCTCTGATTATAAATATCAGCCAAAATCTTATAGAAAAGGGAGATGTTACATTAGTGCCTTCCCCATGAGATTATCTCCAATTTATCCTGTATAGAACTTGTTTACATATAGTTGTTTGCACATTGTCTCCCTTATTAGACTATGAGGTCCTGGAGAGCAAGGATTATTTTTACCTTTTTTGGTATCTTCAGTGCTTATCACCATGCCTAGCACATAGCAGGTACTTAATAAAAGCTAGCAGAAATATAATATCTGTCTTCAACATTTGAAGGCTGTGTGGACCAGGAATAGATTTGTTTCATTTCACCACAAAGCGCAAAACTAGGAGAAAGACTAGAAACTGCAGAGAAGAAGATTTAGGCACAGCATAAAGAAAAACTTCCTAAAAATCTCCCAAAAGTTGAGTGGGCTTCCTCAGAAGTCTGGATGAGTACTTGATGATGTTATAGAGCACATTCTCAGTCAGGTATTTCTTGGACTAAAAATGGCCTCAGCATTGACCTCCAAATTCTGGGATTCTCCAAGTCAAAACAGAAAAGGAATTCATATACATGTTCTCTAGATACCCCCTTTTGCAGGCAACACTGTGCTGACTACACCAAGAATACTCTAGAGCATTCTAAGTGAAATCCATTGCAACTAAAGAGAATGGTTTAACAATTCATAGTTTCCTAAATAAAAGAAGTTACATCTATTGTTTAGACTATAATTTGCAAGTGGACGGGCAGCCCATTGAGTTAGTACACATCCTGAATTCATGTATGCATTACAGATGGACAATGAGTTGGGCTCAACATTGAAAAAGAGAATGAAAGCAAGCTAGACTGCATTTGGGAAAACATGCAGTGCTTTTAATGATCCCAAAAAGCTCCCTCACATAAAATCCCATATTTTAAATATCATTATTCTTCCTTTAAGCTCTCTTCTTCCAGCTGATTCCCATCCATCACAATCACACAGACTGTTTGAAATATGGAACAATAAAGATTATTTTAATAGCAGGTTAAGAAATAAACACAAAGATGTGTGTTTGTTAAAGGTGTTTGCTGCCATTGTGAAGGTCTGTACTTTAAAGTTCAAATAGAAGAGGAATTTCCTATATACTATAAGGTTCTCCATAAACTCTTTATTTATAGATGACACTGCATTGCTTATATAAAAATCTGGAAACTGGAATACCTTTGATATAAAATCAATAATCAAAAAAATACTTCAGTCTAATCAACTACATGGGAAAAACCAAGGGAGTGGCAAACATATACTGTCTAAACTATGATGTGAGTTGGACAGACAACACATAGAGCTGGTCCATCTGTATAAGGAGCTTAGACAGACTCCTCATATGGCAAAGAACTGACCTTCAGAAAACTGCACTGGGTTTTAAAGCTTCTCTCTGAAACAAAGGCCCATCTTTTTAGCATTAACAGCCTTTCTGTGATACTATATGGCTGCGAATCATGGAACACCACAGTATTTAAAAACTTAAAACTGGTTTACCATCCAAAAGGCAATGGTGAGATATATTGACAGGTATGAACAGGCTGCAACATATTAATGATAAAGAACTCTGCAGAACATGTGGCATAAGAGATGATCAAAAAGATTTATGACCAGAAATTAAGGTGGATCAATTAAGTATCAAGAGTGAGAGATAATTAATAAACAGCTCCTTGGTAACCACAAACTGTCAAAAGAGCTAAAGGAAGACCTCCAGGATAAAAGGTGGCCACTTATAAAGGACTGTACTCATGGTACAGTGGAAAGAGCAATGGGTTGTGTGGTCAAAGGACATCGGTTCAAAGCCCACCTCTGCCTTTTATCTCTGTGACCTTAGGCAAGTCATTTAACATATCTTCATCTCAGTTTACCACTCTATAAAATGAGGAGGTTGGACTCTATGACTCTAAGGTCCCTTCTAACTCTAAACCCATCATTCATGATCCTGGAATCCTAGGATACTGACGAGAGTTGTATAATATTGAAAGATGCTGATGAGGTGCCCTTCACCCCATTTGTTGGGATACTTACATAGATGAGATTGCAGATCCTCCAAGGTGTCAAAATATTCATTCCTACTGTGATGCTATCTGGCTGTGAATCATGGAACAACATAATCTTCTAAGAATTACAATCATGGATAAATGAAATAGAATCAAGAGAAAATTGGCAGACATACATAGATGGTAGCAAGTTACAAATGATGAACTGCATGGAAGAAGTGGTTGAAAGATATCATGCAGCTATTAAGCCCTATTCTAAAAAAAAGTAAAAATTAAAAAAAAAACAAGAAATAATTATAACCTATTAACCACTATCAGAGTTTATAAATATATCTAAAATATTTTTTGCTGCTCAGAGCAATCCTTTTAAAGTATATGTATAGTATGATCAATTATATGTAAGATAAAAAAAAACTTTTGATTTTTTAAGAAGGAGAAGCCTAAGATCTAAGATCAGGAGCCTAATATCAGACTAGCCCATTTGCTGTGCTATATTAAGTCCCCAAATTCCAAAGTCAAAACCCAAAGCAAAAATATGCTCCCAAAAAACTGGCTAGTCTATCATATCATTTTCTCCTATAGCAAGCAAGTGAAATTAACTCTGAAAGCCTACCCACTTTCCCCAAACCTAATATGTCAAATATCAGTTCTACACCTAATTTTATCAGCTATAACAAGAAAACATCGCATATCTTAGCTTTCAAAATATATGCAGAAATTCAGTGACTAACACTGTACAAATCTGAAGAAGATATAAAACTATCTTTCTCAGTATTCTCATCCATAAAGTGGGGGAAATAATAATTGTATTAACAAAACTACTTCCATATTTATACTACAGATAATTATGGGGCAGATAGGTGGCGCAGTGGATAGAGCACCGGCCCTGAAATCAAGGAGGACCTGAGTTCAAATCTGGCCTCAGACCAGACACTTGACACTTACTAGCTGTGTGACCCTGGGCAAGTCACTTAACCCCAATTGCCTAAATAAATAAAGATAATCCTACATAGATACAAGTGTCAAAAAGAGTTGCTCTCAGAAAAATACTTTGTCAACTGCAAAAGCAGATGTATATGTGATATATTATTATATTTGTTCAGAAAGAGAAGAAAACACCCAACAGACTAAGCTAAAACTTTTTTTTTAATATTAAGATGGTAGCCATCTTTAGGGAATACAGCTAGAAAAGTAAAGGAGGCTTTGATGGCACAGCACATAACTTATTAAGTGTAATCCTGCAAAATAAAACTCAGTCATAAGGTATCGTCAGCTCCAATTTAAGTTATGGCCATGATGGTAGTAGCAATAGTTAAAACAGACCCATCAATATCAACTTGCTTTAGGGAGTGTTAGAAGTGAACTCTTCTCTGCCAGCACTATATTCCAAGTAAATTGGAGCACATGTGCCAACAGTATCCTGATACCAGTGATATTTTGTATTACCATGAAAATTCCGAGGTCAGGTTTTTCCTCAACTGCGAAAATCCTGAGCAAACTCAGTAGCATCTCCACCTCTGGTTAGTGCTCTTAGAATTAACCATAATAGTGGTAAGATGGAGCTACAAATTTTATAAATTCAGAATAATTTTATTAGAAAATTTAAGACAAAGAAGATACTTTTGCAAATTTATAATTATATTTGTATAAATTGGAGGCTATCTGTACCTTACAGAATATAACTTCCTTGAGGGCAAGGAATGTTTCATTTTTCTTTGTATCTCCAGGGTCTAGCACAGCATCTAACAGAGGCACTTAACAAATACTGATCACTAACTGATTGGCAAAGAATAACATACTCTGCCAATATGCTAGAGAAATGAAATTAATAAGGCTAAGATATTCCTAAGATATAAACTCACAAATGACATGATAGACAAAAAGTCTCCTGATAGCTACTGTACACAGATCTGTCTTCAAAAAAATGGAAAAAGACAACCATTTTACTTGTTCTAGTCCTTTCCCTCTTGTATTTGACTTGTACTTAACATTCATCTATGAGAATGTCAAGTTGAGAATTGAAGAGAAAAAAACATATCATAAAATTCTAAATTTATCCAAAATGAATAGTGAAAAGATCCAGTTATATTACTTAACACAGATCCATAAATTCAAGGCTGGAAAAGGATGTTAGAGATCATCTAGTCTAACACTCTCATTTTACAGATGAGGAAACTGAGGCCCAGAGAGATTAAATGACTTACCCAAGTAAGTTCACACAGTTAGTAAGAGGCAAAACCTACACACTGGTCCAAGCCCTTTGACTCCAAATTCAACACTCTTTCTACTATGCCATACTCTTATCTAAAATTCCTGTAAAGTATTACTTTCATCCTAGAACTAAGTATTGTTTTATAGTATATGTATTTTTAGCATGCAAAAAATAAGTCATTCTCAAAGGCTTTCAGAAAGTTTAGTAGGAAACTGGCTTGAGATATCTTTAATTTATAGGAAAATAAAGCCATAAAGACACTAATAAAAAAAAATTTAGTACATATGCAAACCAAAGAGACTGATGCTTAAATAATCATTTACTCCATGATTAGAATGGTCTACTTTCTATGTGACTACTAGACTATAGTCTACTGACAATAGACAAATGATAATTCAATATTTTTTCTTAAAACAATTTCCATAGTAAGGTACCACAATGTAAGAATAGCACAGAATATGATGACAGCAAAGCAATTTTTAGAGAAGGAAACAATATAATAGACTACAAGACATAAAGAGGTTATTGAGGTACTATACTTCTCACACACACACACACACACACACACACCCCTTATGCTATGCCTCATAGACATAAATGACATGCTTTGAGTTGGTTGTTTTTCTTTTCCTGAGGATGGATTTGGGTTGAGTCATCCACAGTAATTTGCCTAGCTCCCCATCTGACCAATTACATTTGTAAGGCAGCTTCAAGAAAGTTTAAAGAAACAATCAATGACCACAGAATAAAGCAAATTTAAATGGCTCATACAGGAATAAAAACCATAGTAGACCATCTAAGTGAGCTGTTCAGCTATAGCAAGACAATTCAGATAATAAATATAAATAAATTTGGATATACATCATTTCCCTACATTCAAGCATGATTCAAGGTGAGATTTTGCTATTAGGTACATTTGAAAAAGTTTTACTATACAGAAAGACATTTAATTGGACCAAAATACAAACCTGCCAGGTCTGCATTAAACATTTCATTGACTTCTATGGCAATTTCACTTATTGTTTAAGACCAAAAAAAAAAAAGACAGAGAAAGAGAGAGAGAGAGAGAGAGAGAGAGAGAGAGAGAGAGAGAGAGAGAGAGAGAGAGAGAGAGAGAGAGAGAGAGAGAACGCCATTTCTTATCATACTACTTCTTAGAATTCATCTAAATTTATCTTCTATAAAAAGCTGAAAAGGAAGAAATTAATGATTATTTTATGCACATTTAATACCTGATTGACATCTTGCCTCTTCCAGTTCTCTAGTTGCCATTCTGAAAGACACAACAGGATAAAAAAGCAGGAACATTTTAAAAGAGTAATATATATTTTTCCAATAAGCTGTCAGTATTTAATGGAAAGGGACAGGTAGATGACACAGTAGATAAAGTGCTGGGGCTGCTGTCAGGAAAGACTCTACTTCCTGAATCAGATCTGGCCTCAGACACCTAGTAGCTGTATGATTCTGGGTACATCACTTAACCCTGCATGCCTCAGTTTCCTCATCTATAAAATGAGCTGGAGAAGAAATGGCACACCACTCCAGTATCTTTATCAAGAACATCTCCAATAGGGTCACAAAGAGTCAATAAGATTGAAAATTACTGAACAAACAAAAAGAAAAATTTAATGGAAAACATAGGGCTAATTTTTCTGCTGGTGAATCTCTTTTGTAATCCAAGTTGGAATACAGAAACTCCCCTTTCCCTCACCTCACCCTGTCCTTCTTCTACCAATATGCAGCTCTGCATTGTAGCCCATCATCTGTTTTCTCTACTCCAAATCTCAAAAAGGAAAGGCAATGAAACTGTATTGACTGAATACAAATTCCTACTGTCTAACCTCAACTGGATCATCACGCTACTAAGTACATAAGCTTTTTATCTAATCAAAAGGAACTCTTTACAGAGGTTACTCCAAATCTCTTTGCACACCATTCCTCTCTCACTTAGCAGATGATCTAGCCTCCTACTAAAGATTGAAACACTGGTCATGATCTTTTCACCTACCTTTCACCATATTTCAAAACTCTGTCCCTTCACCTGTCCGCTTTTGTCTCAGAGAATGAGTTGGTCCTTACTGTCAAAGATAACCCTGGCCCACACTGTCCTGGATCTTACTTCCTCCTATCTCCTTCAGAAGGCTGCCTCATTAATCATCTCATCTGTAACTCCTTTTGGTTTCTTTCCCTACTCATTTCTTCCCTACAAATAGGCTCAGATTTCCCTTGTCCTTAAAATTTTCCTGTACTCTAACATATCCTCCTCCAAACACTGCTCTATCTACCCCCTCACCCCAGACACTGAATTAATTGCTAGTGATTCTATTTCCAAAATATCCGCTACATACTTTTGTACATATTCACAATTCCATCATCATCCTGGTTCAGGTCCTTATTATTTCTCACCAGAAGTATTATAATAAGATTCTAACTGGTCTTCCTACTCTCAGTCTCTTTCCCTCTCCAAAGTGCATCCACCACACAGCAGCCCCAGTAATCTTCCTCATGCATCCTACAACACTTTCTTACTTCAAAAAGAGTAGGTTCCCAGTTGCCTATGATAAAACACTAACTATGTAACTTGGCACTGAAGACCCTCTGGAGTTTGACTACAAGCTACATTTTTGGTGTCATTTCATTTTACTTTTTGTCATGTTCTATTCTGTTGTTCACAGAAAAGTAAGTAATGCAAAACTTGTAAATATCTCCTTTGAATTGGTCCCTTCATCTTGTATTTTACCTCTCTGGGTTCTTGTTATATCCTCTACAGGAGAATGCAAGCTCTTTGACTGCAGCGATTGCGTCATTTTTATCTTTGTATGTCCAGTGCCAAAAAAGTGTTTTAAATATATTAGGTGCTTCATAAATGTTTGCATAATGAATGAATAAAACAAAAAGAGGGGGATGTGAAATACATAGATACATATATGCATATATGTATACATTTACTATTTTGGAATACAAGAAACAGAACTCAATCCATCTCCTTGTACCAGCTGTTTTTTCATATTTTTTCTCAAAGAGATTTTTGGTGGTTGTGGTTGTTGCTCATTGAGTTTTTAAAATGTACGCTACTTTCAGATAAATATTTTAATATGTAAACACAGTGAAAAAGCCAAGAATAGAGAACAGAGAAGTATATACATAAAAAGGTTATGGAGAAGCAATAATAGAAGCTGCCAAAAAACTTAAGACAAGTTGCTACTCCATAAATTATTGACTCTACGGAGATAAAGCACAATGTTAACCTTGACCTTCAAGCTAATCTCATAGTTACACTCTACACTCCATATGCCTGATTCTATGGTAGTTTTATTTCTTATTTTCTTTTACTTGCTTAGAGTTGTCTGCAGATAATACACTACCTCAATGCACAGTTCACGTTCTCTAGTAGTTTTCAAATAATATTTTAGGTTATTATTACAGAAAATTTTACTCTTCAACTCCAGTATAGCTAAACCTGTACATTCATAATAAAAGTCACCCAAAGAGGTAACTATAACAAAAGAAGTATTTCTAAGTTTAAGAATTAAGCCCCTAGCATGTAATAGGAAATGAGATCTAACACCCTTTTGCGCTCAGAAATTTCCTGTAAAGTTGAGAATATCTTTATGAAAAATATTCTTTGTTCTACTATCTCAAGAATATTGGGTACAGATAACGAAAAGTGTCCAAAAAGCTGAACTCTTTTTGATAATGTAAAGAATATTCAAATTATAGCTGGTCTATTTAAATATTTCTAGTCTTATAACAAAAATGTAGTCATCTGATGAATAAAGAATGCTCATTCCCATTTCTATAATATATAATCCCTATTTTAGTTATGAAGAAAAACATAATTAAAACTTTCAATAATGATTCTTCAAAAGTTCAGTGGTTAGAAATTAAAGAAAATGTGTGCTAATACTTAATCTCATATACACATTATGACATTAGACAAGAGAGATGGCCTCAAAGTCAGGAAAACCTGGGTTCAAGTCTCACTTCTGATACATACTGCTGTGTAACCCTGGGCAACTCCTTTCATCTCTCAGTGCCCTAGGCAACTTCCTAAGACCAAAACTTGCTATACTGCATTAGTGGAGGGAATTTCCTTGACCAATGAAAGCATAGGTTACAAAAGCACTGTCTGGTCAAAGTTCTTCTAGCATTCATTCATTCATTCATTCATTCATTCAAGAAATACTTACTGAGGTCCAAAAATATCCACAGAACAATTCTGAGTGCCATCTCCTTGGCTGATTCATTATCTATATCAGAGCCCCTAACTGCGGGTATTTATTCCCCAAATCTCTGAACTGGGTCCTCTTCTCTTCATTCTCCGTACTCTCTCCATTGTAATATGACACTTTTAACTAACAATTGGACATTTCAAACTAGATGTCTCAAACTCCACATGTCCCAAACAGAACTCATCATCTCCCCTCCCAAAACCCGCCTCACTTCTGTATTTCCCTATTTTTATATGGGGCATCACCATCCTTCAGTCTCCCAGGTTCTTGAGGTTGTCATTTTCTTTGACTCCTCACTCCACAATTCAACTAGTTGGCAAATGTCGATCTTTCAACACCCCCACCATCTCTTTCATACATCTTCGTATGGCTAATATCATAGTTAGTATGACTCGTCTGGACTAGAGCAATAGCTTCCTAATCAGTCTCTCTGCCACAAATCTTTTCTCTCTTAAACTCAACGTGTTCCAAACTGAACTCTTTATGTTTCTCCCTAAACCATTCCCACCTTCTACCTTTCCTATTACTACTGAGGACATCTTTCTCCTAGTCCCTGAGGCTCCCCACCTAGGAGCCATCCTGGACTCCTCACTATCTCTCCTCCCACATTCCAATGCGTTGGCCTGTCAATTTCACCTCTGCAACATCTCTTGATGAACATGCTCCCTTCTCTCCTCTGATACTACCACCACTCTAGAGCAGGCCCTCATCATTTCACACCTTGATTACTGAACTAGCCTGCTGGTGGGTCTGCCTACTTCATCTCTCTCCAGTCCAGACCATCCTCCATTAAGCTACCACAGTGATTTTCCTAAAGTACCAGTCTGATCATGTCACCCCAGCCTCCCCCCCACTCAATAAGGTCCAGTGGCTCCCTACTGCCTCCAGAAGCAAATACAAAATCCTCTGTTTGGCATTCAAAGCCCTTCATAACCTAGCCCCATCCTGTCTTCCAGTCTTCTTATACCTTTCTTCCTGTTAAGTATTCTTTGACCCAGTGACATTTGTCTTCTGACTTTCCACAAATAAGACACTTTATGTCTTGGCTCTGGGGATTTTCTATGGGTGTCCCCCATGTCTGGAACGTTCTCCTCCCTCATCTCTGCTTGCTGACCTACCTGGCTTCCTCTAAGTCACAATTAAAAACTTATCTTCTACAGGAAGACTTTCCCAACTTCTCAAGTCTATTGCCTTCTCTCTCTTAATTACTTCCTATTTAATCTGTACATAGCTTATTTTTACATATTTGTGTATAGGCAGTGGATGGAGTGATGGTCCTGGAGTCAGGAAGACTCCTGAGTTCAAATCTGGCCTCAGACACTTAGTAGCTGTGTGGCCCTAAGCAAGTCACTTAACTTTGTCTGCCTCAGTTTCTCCATCTATAAAACGAGCTGGAGAAAGAAATGGCAAACCACTCCAGTATCCCTGCCAAGAAAACCCCAAATAGGGTCACAAAGAGTAGGCTATGATTGGAAAACAACTGAAAAACAGTAACATATTTGTTTGCTTGTTGTCTCCCTTATTAGATTGTGAGCTCCTTGAGGAAAGAGACTGTCCTTTGCCTCTTTTTGTATCTCCAGGGCTTAACAGAGTAGCTGGCATATAGTAGGCTTTTCATATATGTTTACTAATTCTCTTCAATCCCTCCTCCACGCAGCTGCCAAAGTGATTTTCTAAAGTGCAAGTCTGTCCATATTACACTGCTACACAAAAGTTTAGCCTGGCTCCCCTTTAATTCTAGGGTAAGATACAGGAATATAATTTCTGCCATGTGTGTGACCATGAACAAATTACTTGGGCTTTTCTGGGCCTCTGTTTTCTCAACAATAAAATGACTGGCTGTGTCTAGATTCCTCAAAGATTCCTTCTGCCTGTAAAATTCTATAAGTTCTATGCCATCATGTCCATAAATAAATATAATATACAGCAGGATATATAAGAGCATACAAAAATCACTAAATATTCAAAAGGAGAGTTTGTTTTTCCATGATGAGCAGGGGTAAGTAAACTTTAAAAGATGACTTCAATGATGGGGAAGAATCTAGCAGGTGGAAATGGGGACTGACAAGCATTCTGTCTGGGATGCCAGAAATGCTCTCTATAGTGAAGACATCATGCAACAGTTTTGAATGCATCATCCTTCCTATTAGCCATTAGACCTACATAAAGATCTGAGAAATAATATTTTCACTTAAAAGATTAAATATTATAAAAAATTCTAAAATTTTGCTTAATTGGGCTTGGTCAAAGAAATTATCTGTTACTTTTTCATGCTGCTCTTCTTAAAAGATTCATTATGAACATTCATAGCTTGCTTTTTTTCAATCGACACTGACCTACTCCAAAGCATCAATCGGGTCCCCATTACCTCTCTGGTCAAATACACACACACATTAAAAATCAGAAAACAATACAAAGCAGTCAACATGCCAAATAAGTAAGCAGTATTGCCATGGGAGTTTAAAAGAGGACAATATCACTGTTGGTTATATTCATCATCAAAGAACTGGGATTTAACCTTGATCTTGAAGGATGGGTTAGAGTTGAATAAGCAGTACAGTGGATGAAGGACCAGGTCTAGAGTCAGGAAGACTGCTCTTTCTGAGTTCAAATCTGGCCTGAAACACGTATTAGCTGTGTGACCCTGGGCAAGTCACTCAACCCTGTTTGCCTCAGTTTCCTCATTTGTAAAACGAGCTAGAGAAGGAAAAAGCAAACCACTCCAGTATCTTTGCCAAGCAAACCCCAAAATGGGGTCACAAAGAGTCAGATACTACTGAAACAATTGTACCAATGAGGAATGCCATTCCAGCTCCACTGGGTGGCTAGAGTACAGGCTCACATTAAGGAATAATGGGAAATAAGGTTGGAATGGCAGGTTTGAGATAGATAATGGAACACAGACTAAGGAGTTTACATTTTAATCTAAAGCAACTTAGAATCACTGAAGGCTTTTGAGCAAGGATATTATGTATTGAAAACTTTTTAGAAAGACTAATCAATTGAAATGAACAATCCAGGGGAGACTTTAATTAGCTGATTTGATACTGAAGGGATAACCAAAATCCAAGATAAAACAAGTGTTTATTTAATAAACACATCAAGGGAAAGAAACAAAAAATTAATTAGGGAAATATTTTTGTTTGTTTTTTACTTTGAACTCTTAACTTTTTTTTTCTTTTTTTGTTTAGGCAATTGGGGTTAAGTGACTTGCCCAGGGTCACACAGCTAGTAAGTGTCAAGTGTTTGGTCTGAGGCCAGATTTGAACTCAGGGCCAGTTCTCTATCCACTGCGTCACCTAGCTGCCCCTGAACTCTTAACTTTTAACAAGGTATTTCAGGGAGACGTTACTATGCTGGGCTATAAAATAAAACCAAAAAGTAAGTTGAATTTTGGGCTCTTTCACTCTCATAAAATAAATAGGCCTCTATCAGAGAAAGCTACCTTTCTCATACATTCATTCTCCCCCTCCTTTCACTTTCCCCCATGGTTGCTAATATTTTCACCTTCTCCCCTCAACTGAGAATATACAGACAGCACATCAGAATCTTTTAAAATGCTATATCAGAAATAAAACTTAAACTTCTTTCTGTTATGCTGATCTTTTCCTTAAATTGGGAAAGACTTGTTTTGACTCACAATATACTTTGTTACTATTCAATGCAAAATTGTTTAGGTTTAAACTTTTCAAACAGGATGCTTATTACTAAGGAAAATTAATTTTAATGTCATATCATTTGATTATTAATTTTAATTTGTAATATTCCTTTATCTGTTTAAAATCCTCACTTAGCTCACATAGGAAAAAAAACGTTTCTTTCAGAAACTGAGTGAGGAATATGGTTACACAACAGACCCTCCTAAGACCTGCTCTGGGACTCTCTGTTTAATCCCATAAACACAAGTTAAACTGAGCTGGTTCTTGCTAACCAGTTGCCAAGAGCCATTTCTGTGACCCTTGTCCCTTCATTGAAGTTTGGGGCAGCCTAGGTCATGAAGGAGAAATAAAGCCAGAGAGATCCTGATCCAGAAAGATTTTACTTGTCAGGTCCATGGAGGCTACTAAATCTCATGCCCAAGCCTCATTCTTCAACTGACTTCCCTGCTTTGACAATGAAGTAATGGGGGGGGGGGGACTCTGAGGCCGAAGATTCTTAGCCAACCATCTCATTAAGTGTTTACCAATTAGAGTTGCCTTTTTCTTGTCAGGGGAGGTCCCAGTAATGTGCTGTCAGGAAGACATTTAAGGTGGGTATTTAAGGTGGCTCAGAGATTCCCTTTTCATCTTTGGTTATTGAGAGACACCACTGACCATCACTTTATTGATTATTGGCCAGCCTAATTAACAAAATGATTTTTAATACCTGGAACTTTGTGTCGGAATTTCACATGCCTCATTACATAACAAATCAAGGAATATAAACAATATAAAAGTAATGGATGTGGTTATTGAACATTTAAATTAAAAATAGGGGATCTGCAACTACAACTTGAATGAAAGTATAATTCATTAAGCCTAAATTTTTTCTGAAATTTTATTTTAAAATCACGCTGTTTTAAAATCTGCTAAGGAGGTATTTTCATACCTTTCAAAAATTCATCCTCAAAGAGTTGGGTTGACACCTGCTGTGGATAACGGATTCCAGCTCCCCAAGAGACCAAAGGTGTTAAAGTCTCTGAGGCATGGCCAGCACCATGGGATCCTAGGAAAATTAAAAGGCAAAATGTAACACCCTACAGAGATATCAATTTGTGAGAAACGCTCACTTACTTTTCATAAGAAATTCAAACAGATTGTCTAAAATTTTCACTGACATCCTTACATTTATTTTTATGGAATAGGCTAAAAAAATCTGATAAAAAATCATTTTTCTCTACCCTCTACCTCCAAAAAGAAATGCCATCCTAGCATAGTGATTGCCATATACTAAGTACTTTTTCATTCACTCATTCATTCTCTTGTCAAGACTGATTCTTGGTACCTGGCATCAAAATTTTATTGAATTAGTTTGCAGAAACAGAATTTTATTTATATTAATTCTTTTTTTATTTTTAAATTAATTTATTTATTTTTAGTTTTCAACATTCACTTCCACAAGCTTTTGAGTTTTAAATTTTCTCTGCCTCCCTCCCCAAGATGGCATGCAATTTGATATAGGCTCTACATATACATTCTTATTAAACATATTTTAATATTACTTATGTTGTAAAGAACAATTAGAATGAAGGGGAGGAACCATGAGAAAGAAGAAACAAAACAAAAAAGAGAGAGAGAGAGAGAGAGAGCGAGCAAATAGTATGCTTTGATCTGCATCCAGACTCCATAGTTCTTTCTCTGGATGTGGACAGCATTTTCCATCATGAGTCTTTTAGAGTTGTCTTAGATCCTTGTATTGCTGAGAAGAGCTAAGTCTATCAAAGTTATCGTACAGTGTGGCTGTTACCATGTACCATGTTCTCCTGGTTCTGCTCACTTCACTCCGCATCAGTTCATATAAATCCTTGTAGGTTTTTCTGAAGTCCATCTGCTCATCATTTCTTATAGCATGATAGTATTCCATTACATTCATATGCCACAACTTGTCCGCCTTTCCCCAACTGATGGGCATCCCCTCAATTTCCAATTCTTGGCCACCACAAAAAGAGCTGCTATAAATATTTTTGTACATGTGGGTCCTCTTCCCATTTGTATGGTGTCTTGGGATACAGCCCTAGAAGTGCTATTGCTGGGTCAAAGGGTATGCACAATAGCCCTTTGGGCATAGTTTCAAATTGCTCTCCAGAATGGTTGGGTCAGTTCACAACTCTACCAACAAAGCATTAGTGTTTCAATTTTCCTACATCTTCTCCAGCATTTATAATTTTCGTTTTGTCATGTTAGCCAATCTTATAGGTGTGATGTGGTACCTCAGAGTTGTTTTGATTTACATTTCTCTAATCAATAGTGATTTAGAGTATTTTTTCACATGATTATAGGATAGCTTTAATTTCTTCATCTGGAAACTGCCTATTCACATCCTTTGACCATTTATCAATTGGGGAATGACTTGTATTCTTATAAGATTCAGTTTTCTATATATTTTAGATATGAGGCCTTTATCAGAGACACTGGTTGTAAAAAATTCTTTCCAGTTTTCTGCTTCCCTCCTCATCTTGGTTGCATTGGCTTTGTTTGTGCAAAATCTTTTCAATTTAATGTAATCAGACTCATCCATTTTGCATTTCATAATGTTCTTTATCTCTTGTTTAGTCATAAATTCTTCCAGTCTCCAAAAATCTGACAGGTAAACTATTCCTTGCTCTCCCAGTTTGCTTATGATATCAGCCTTTATATCTAAATCATGTACTCATTTTGATTTTATTTTGGCACATAGTGTAAGATATTGGTCTATGCCCAGTTTCTGCTATACTATTTTCCAGTTTTCCCAGCAGTTTTTGTCAAATAGTGAGTTCTTACCCCAGAAGCTGGGGTCTTTGGGTTTATCAAACAGTAGATTACTATAGTCATTGGCTACTGTATCTTGTGTACCTAACCTATTCCACTGATCCACGACTCTACTTCTTAGCCAGTACCAAGTAGTTTTGATGATTGCTGCTCTATAATACAATTTAAGATCTGGTATGGCTAGCCACCTTCCCTAGCATTTCTTTTCATTAGTTCCCTTGATATTCTGGACTTTTTGTTCTTCCAAATGAATCTTGTTTTTATTTTTTCTAGTTCTATAAAACAACTTTTTGTTAGTTTGATTGGTATGGTACTGATATTAATTCTTTAAAGAAAAGGGTTATTCCCTATACCTACAACTATATTCCTTCTCCTATTTTTTCCGCAGCTATCTTTACCCTCTCATAAATATTACTATTTTCTACTTTTTTCTAATATCTGATACTGAGATAGGGCAGTGGCAGCAGCATCAAACTTGGGTCTGCAAACTTGGGTCTAACGCTAATGAAAAAGTACTTTACTTACTATTTTCCATTTTCCAGTCCAAAATTTTTTGAGGGTACCTATGATAGTACTATATTCTCTAACTCCTTCTTTGTAATCCCCCACATTCCTGAAGACCGTGCTTTCCTTATATAAGGAACTTTGTCTGTGAATTGATGAACTTAACTGAAATTACAAAGAAATGGGATGGACTTAGACAAGACTTTAATTCAACTATACAATGAAGTGTATCACCAAATTCATCAAAATAGTAGTCCTATGTTCTCTGATTTCCCAAAACTTTTTATTACTTCACAAAAGAAAGCTATTTAGCTCCCACATTATTTCTGCCAAGCAAGAAACAAGTTATACAAGAATGACACAAGCCACTCCCTCTCAGTTTTACAATGAAAGCTGTTTAACTTGAAGAAACCACCACTCAAATACTTGGGGATTAAAGTGGATTCTGAAATATTGCCATAGTCTAAGTAACCAGACCTTTGTAAACTACAGAAAATACCCCTCAAGCCCTCTGTTCATTGGAAATATTTAGAATTTAAGATGACTAACCCCAGTCTGTCATTCCATGATCAGAAGTAATGACAAAGGCTGTTTTCTCATCATTTTCATAAAAATCCTCCAGAAGGGACACTATTTCCTTCACTCCATCATCAACTTTTCTTATATTGTCCTTGTATTCCCTGTGAAGTAGTAGAAAAGAATGTAGTTACAAGTTATCTTAAGGAAAACCAATATTTGTTTGGTTTGGCATGAAGTTGTTACACTTTTAAATAACCAGTGTTTCTTGAAATACTCATACCCATATACTCTAATGTGATTACTGAAATAGCTGGATATTTTTTTCTCCCTTGAAGAACAGAAGAACTACAAAGGTTTGGATACAGGCTAAAGAAGCCTCCTAATTAACACAAACCTATTTCTGAACTCCCTTTATTCTCAACTCTCCAGGGAAAGATGGAGCCTTTTAATTGTAGCTGTCTAAAAACTGAAATTCACAATTCTTATTCTACATCACATACTGAATGTTTTTGTCATACCACCAAGAACAAAAGTCTTGCAAAACATTTATCCTCTCAAAATTAAGGATTTCTGATTCAATGTAACACTTCTATACACATAAACAGGACAGGTTCAAGGCTAGCAATATCCTCTTTGTAGGAAATTTGTCATGTATAATTTAAATTAAAAGACAATGAATTTATTTCACCAATGATATTTAGAGTCAAGGTAAAGGTCAATTTAACCCAAGACAAAAGAAAAATAAAACATTCAAAATTAAGGATAAATTTAGAAAACATTTTCTGTTTGAGAATGAAATATGAGGGGGCAATCCAGTCACATATTAGTATCAATGAGATATTAAAAGAATTAGGAGAAAGCTCCAGAACATTGCATAAGTCAACTGTGAGGAATGTGAGGGCAGAATATGGGCAAAGATCAAATAGGATGATAAGTGCAGGAAGGATGGGACTTCAATCTGCCACCGGAGGGAGCACCCACAGCAATGAGTCTCAATATGTCAGTCTTCATCTTTACACTCTGATTCTGTGGCCGATTCCCCTTGCATTGTTCTCTGGAACCCTACTATATTGATAACTCTTCTTCATCCCACATCTGATGACATCTTCTGATGCCCAATAAAGATGTCTTATCATTTGTTACCTTGCCTGCTTGGAGTGGGTACTCCAAGGCTGTTGGTTCTGTCTTTCTCATCTCCCACCACACTGCCCAACACATAGGACCAAGAGTAGTTGACAGAGTCCTTTCTCCTGCCTGCAATTTCTAGACTTTTCCTCTGCCATCATCACTTAATAATCTGTCCTTAAAAGTTCATTTCACTAGGTGGTGCAATGGATAGAGCACCAGCCCTGAAGTCAGGTGAACCTGAGTTCAAATCCAGCCTCAGACCAAACAACTGACTTATTAGCTGTGTGACCTTGGGCAAGTCACTTAACCCCAATTGCTTAAAAAACAAAAAAACAAACAAAAGTTCATTTCATCCATCTCTCTCACCTCTTTTTACTTTGGTTAACTGGTCATCATGTCATTTTACCTCCTTTTTCCACTGAGTTCTTTGCTTGGTTCACAATCTTCTTATCCATCCCACCACTCTACTGAAATTGTTTTCTCAAAAGGCCTGTAGGCTCTTGTTAAATTTGATAGCCTTTTCTCAGTCCTCATCTACTTTGACTTTTATGCAGCTTTTGACAGCATTGACCACCCTCCTAGACACTGTCTCTTCCCTTGGTTTTTTTTCCTACATGCTTAGTGGCTGCTTCTTTTTCTCTTTCAGTGAACTAATATTCTATCCTAAGCCAGTCCAATCTCCCAATTTCTCTATTGTTGTTGTTACCATTATTTTACACTACCCAGTTTCAAATACTGTAACTTTTGAAAGTCTTTGTCAATGTCTTCTGATTCTATTTCCAAAACTTCTGATATATACTCACTCTTTTCTCTCCACTCACACTACCAGAACTAGACTACTTTAATAGTTTCCTCACTGGTCTCCCTGCCTCCAATTTCTCCTACTACAATCCATCCTTTAAAAAGCTGCCAGAGTGATTTTCCTAAGCTACATACCTGACCACGTCATTGCTGATAAGACAAAATAAAATCTAGCAATCTATAATCTAACTCCAAACTAATTTTTTTTCCAACCTTATTTTAAATTGTTTTTTCTCATGAACACTAGCAAAACTAGACTACTACTTGTTCTGCAAACTCACAATTCCTACCCTATTTCCTCTGAGTTAATACAGGCCACTCTCCACATTTGTAAAGTTCCACCTCATCTGTTTTTGGAGTCCTTTCTTTAAAGTTCAGCTCAGGTGCCATTTCCTTGTCATGCTTTCTCTGATCTTCTAGCTAAAAGTTATCTTTCTCCAAATTTAATCTTTGTGTGTGTGTGTCATAGACCCTTTGGCATTTAGATAAAGTCTATGAACCCATTCTCAGAATAATGTTTTTAAATGTATAGAACAAAATACATAGGATTACAAAGGAAATCATTTATATTGGAATACAGTTATCAAACTACATATTTTTAAAAGTCCATAGAAACCAGGTTAAAAGTTTATTTTTTTCTACTATTTTCCATCTTAATTTAATAAAAAAATGGGACTTTCCATTTGTAAATTAACATGTATAGTTTTATACATGCACATATATGTGTGTTATGTGTATATATATATTTTTATATAGGAATAGAAAAAAGAAACTATATATGAAACTATGGATCTTTATTGTGTGTAGCTGTTTTTCTTTTTAAATATATAATAGGTTTAATCTGCAGCTTTTAGAGCTGTCCTCCTTGTCTGTTCTCTATATTTAAAAAAAAAGAGATCTCAATGACCCACTTTTTTAAGTTACCCTATTCTTATCCTCTTCTTATCTCCTCCTTCTTTACTGAAAACAAACCCAAAAAAAGGAAACAAAAGCCTCTGTAGAAAACTTGTAGAGTCAAGCAAAACAAACTACCACATTGGCCATATCCAAAATGTATGTCTTAAATTCATCATTTCTCTGTCAAGCGACAGGTAGCATGCTTTATCATACTTTACCATAATTCTCCTAGAATTGTAGTTGATCACTGCAGTCAAAATTATTTTTCTTTATAATGTTATTGTTGTAAAAATTTTCCTCCTGGTTCTCCTCACTTCACTTGGTATCAATTCATGCAGGTCTTCCAAGGTTCCACCAAAACTGTCCATTTCGTCATTTCTCATGGTTCAATAATATTCTACTACATTCATATAAAATAATTATTTTGGCCAATTCCTCAATAGAAGACATCTCCTTAGTTCCCAGTTCTTTACTACTACAAAAAGAGCTGTTATAGATAATTTTATGCATTCTTTCTTTCTTTGCTCTCTTTGGGGGCATTGCTAGATCCAAAGTTTAGTGGCTTTTTGGGGAAAGTTCCAAAATATTTTTCCAGAAAGATTAGACCAATTCACAGCTCCACCAACAGTGCATTGGTGTATTCCCAACAGCTTCCCTAGAATTATTATTTTTTTTTTGTCACTATGGCCAATCTGACGGGAGTGAGATGGAACCTAAGCATTGTTTTAATTTGCAATTAGTTACTTGGAGATTTAAATCATTGTTGAAAACTTGGATTGCTTCCTTTGAAATTCAAATATTTACATGCTTTGACCATTTATCTATTGGAGAATAGTTCTTGTTCTAATAAATTTGAATCAGTTCCTTTTATATCTCGGATAGGAGACCTTTATCAAAGAAACTTGCTTTTAAGATTGTTTCCCATTTCATTTGAACTGTACTGGTTGTGTTTATAAAAAAATTAAATTACAAATGTTTGCTGAACTATATTGAAATTGATCATATGATCCTGCAACTTATCCATCAAATATTTGTGTACAAATATTTTTGGACAAGGTGAATATTGGTATTTGTTTTGCTTGACTATAGATATTTGTTTACACAGGTCTTGTTTTTCTTTTTTTCTGAGGGGGAAAGAGTGGGAGGGAGAAAAAATATTTGATAATTGAAAAAAATTAATCAAAATATCTATCTATCTTTTTATACACAAGGTATTAGGTGAGATCACTTCCAACTAGATTTAGGAAGGTTTTGAGGAAATAATTCATGGAGCAGGTAGAATGTGAAGTAGAGTTTAGTAAGTAACAGGATGTCAATGGGGAGGTGGAAGGAAGGAAAAGAAAAGAATTTTAGGAGTATGAATAAAAAAGTCATTGAGGCAGAACATCATATAACATAAAATTACAAACATTTGAGCATTTAAAACTGTGGCTTGTATGATGACATAGATTTCATAATTTCATTTTTTCAAAATAAAATCAGATTCATAAACGTTTGTGGAGCATACACTACATATAAGACACTACATGAACTTCTGTAGTGAGGCTATTTGCTATGTTAATATCATTGTTCACATAAATGTTAGGAGTGAATGAATTAATTAATCAATCTCTCCTAGCCCTGATACCTTTATCATTAAGGCAATTAATCAAAGACATTCCACTAAGTGCAATAAATTCTTAATTAAATTTTTTTTGAGGAGTCAAAGCTACCAGAGGGCAGATGAAATAAAATGATGTTATACAAAAACAGTATTGGATTAGCTGAAGAGACTCAGTCATGCTTTCTGGCTTTTGGCAACCCAGTTTGGAAACACAGCAATTCCAGTGTCTGGCCAGCCCAGTAGAGAGAATAGTTCCACAGCCGATCCTGGCAAGAAACTGACAGGAGGGAAATAATGAGGCACTCTCTCTCTCTCTCACCAACCACTCTCTATATTTACCCCCACTTCCCTCCCTCCAACAATGACCTTATGAACTTTTAAAGAAGTGAAGATGGTGGACTTCTCATGAACATCTTAGCAGTGTCCCCAGACAGCAGTGGTTGATGGCAGTGTTTGCACTGGGAATTAAGGGTAGACTGAAGACCCTGAAGAAAGGCAACTTCAGGACTCTCTGATTAGCCCAGCAGAAAGCTACATTGCACCTACGGGGACTTCGTGAGGACTCCACAAAGGGAGAAAGGGAACTCCATCCAATCAGGAGCTGTGAGTTACCTTTTTAGCAAACTGTGCATTCTAAGCTTAAGTCCACGTTCCCCTGGATTCTGTCCATATCTGTGAAAGAGCATGTGCCAGGCTTTTGGGAGGAGTGTTTTACAATAACCACTTTAAGATTGAATCTACTCTTACCAGGGACCAAGGTGGTAGAGGAGAATGTGCTCCCAGTTTGGCAGGTCACTGTACTTCAGTTCTTGCAATACCTTCTCAGTAAATATCTCTTTTTAAAAAGTAATTAAATTTAAATGGTTAAATGTTATTGGGGAAATATTAGCTGGCAATTAATATGAGGGGAATACACTGGATGGAGGAAGGTAAGCAAATGATTTATAGTCAGGTTACAATGACATTCTGGGTGCTATGGATGCATGCACTATAAACTACAGTATGAAGAAATGACTCCCCACTCCCTCAGAGTTACTGTTAGCCTGAGCTAGCCACTCCCTGGGGATCTAGCTCGTTGGTGTGAAGGAGGAATTGAAACAGCTCCAGAGACTGTTCAACATTGACAAGAGTAATATAGCTTAAATATATAGTGCTTTATAGTTTACAAAGTCCTTCTGCATATATTTTCTCATTTGATTTTTCATAACTCTATGAAGTTGGTAAGACAGCTATTATAATTACTGTTTTCTAGGTGAAAAAAACCAAGACTCATAAGGATAAACTAGCTTAGCCTAAAGGTCAAGTATCACAGCCAAGTCTCCAACCAAAGTCTTCTGACTATAATTCTAAGTGAAATACGGCACATTACTTTTGCTTACTGTTATTCCAAATAGCTAATAATAATAATAGCTCATGTTAATATATACCGCTTACTTTGGGCCAGGTACTGTGCTAGTGACTTGCCCAGGGTCACACAGCTAGTAAGTTTCTGAGGTAGGATTTGAACCCAGATCTTTCTGACTCCAGGCCCCGTGCTCTATCCATTATACCACCTACCTGCCCAATATAATATTTACACATTTAAAAAAAAAAGTTGCCAGTATCCTTTAAGATGGTCAAAGTAAATTAAATACAGCTTTTAAATTACCTTGATGATGGTCGGTGAGCGTGCCCATTTGTGTCTATTCCCAGCAAATGCAAGAACAGCACAATTTTCTCTTCATTTAATTTTAAGAACAAAGACTGATTACTCTTAGCAGACTGGAAAAAATCCTATACGGAATGAATAAGTTTAAAGAAAAACTTTTGTGAAAATTCAATCACTATTTTGTTATTTGCATTTTAAGTGAATAACGTAATTAGAACATCTGTTCATAAAGAGGGCAGTCAACCGAAAAATTAAATCGTAGCATTTATCTTTTTTTTTTAAGTAAAACAATCTTTCTCCTAACTATTCTTCTTCCCATTTCAAATCTTCAATGCAACTACTTTTAAATGTTTATTTATTTTGTTAAACATTCCCCAAGTACAGGTAAAAAAAAAATTTTAACATTCATTTTTTAAAATTTTGAGTTCCAAATTCTCTCCCTCCTTCCTGCCCATCCCCCCACTTTGAGAAGGCAATTACACATGTGAAGTCACGTAAAGTCATGTAAAACATATTTTTGTATTAGCCATGCTGTAAAAGAAAACACACAAAAAAAATTTCCTTCTCCAGTGGAAGACAGAGGTTAAGTGACTTGCCCAAGATCACATAGCTAGCATGTTCCTGAGGCTGAATTTGAACTCAGGTCTTCCTGACTCCAGGCCTGGTGCTCTCTCCACTGCACCATCTAGTTCCTCTAAGAGATGTACTAATTAAAGTTAAATAAGAAGCAAAAGGTTAACTACCCATTTCACTCTCTCATCATCTAGTAAAGAATCTATATATACTGGTTAAAGGATGAATCATGGAATTTGAAAGCTGAAAGGGAGGTAAGCCACTAAAAAATGCAGAGCTTATTTTCATCACCACAATTTAATCTGGTGATAAAACTGAACAGATGGCCAAAAGACCACAGAATTTCTAGATATTATATCCCACTTTCATATAGAAAAGACTCCATGATATCTCATTGCTCATTACTTAGGCTGATAAATATCACGGCAAGTTAAAGCCAATCAGGGAAGCAAATAACAGTATGTTCACAACTACTCTATAAGATATAACGATGAAACGGGTAACGCTTGTAGAATATGGATAGAATCTATTTTTCAGAAGTGAATTTTGTGACCTCAAACCAACTGGCAAATACAAGACATCCAAGGTATTAAAGCAATAACAAGGCTAGAGTAAATTAACTCAAAATAGTATCCTAAAATTTACAATAGAAACTACTGATGCAATATCATCTTGTTATCAAGATCATGTGAAATAGGAGGCAAAGACAAAATGGTGCAGAGACCAAATGAAGGTCAGTTGAATTGTAGCCCACAATTCCTCTAAGCAGATCTAGAAAATGCACTACTCCTATGGACTAATGTCCTTATAGCAAAATCCAAGAAAACAATCACAAGGAGTCATGTTTCCAGTATAGCAGCTGAGGGGTCAATTGCTCCTGACCCAATCCCAGCTTCCAGTCCAGTCTGGAGCCAACAGGGGAACTTCAAGCCAGGAATCGTAGAATAAAGCAGAACTTGCAGTTTTGTCAATGGCCAAGAGTGGCGGAGTCTAGAAATGGTTTACTAGAATTCCAATCAGAGAAAGCCCACAGGATCTTATCAAATCCAAACATAGGTCAGGAACTTGCAGACCTTAGAATAGGAGGGGCAGAAATTATACTGTCACTGTATTAGACCACTGTTGGATCACCAAAAGCATACAGGTCCCCAGCTTGAGCTGTCCTTGAGATCCTAGTTTACTTGACATTCTCTACATAAGTGCACAAAGCCTAGACTTAACATAGGGTCCAAAGTTAGGACATAGGCTGGAAGACTGAGCAAACAAAAAAAAATTCCTACCACAGAGAGAATATTATAGTGATAGTGATTCTCAAGACACAGACTCTGAAGAAGACAAAGACCTCAAAATATCTACAAGCAAAGCCTTAACGTAAAACATAGACTGGGAACAAGTTTAACTTGTTCTCTAAAAAATGAAGCAAGAGTCAAATTGTTTTGAATGATCATCATCATATAACTACCATTTATGAGAATTTTAAGGTTACAAAGTGCTTTACATATATTCTCATTTTAAATGAGAGCACCAGACTTAAAAAATTAGGAGAAAAAAAAAGAGCTATAAAAGGAATAATGGGGAAGGAAATTAACCACTGGGAACAGGAAGTACAAAACTTTACCCAACTAAAAAACTCCCAGAAAATTAGAATTGACCAAATAATGACTCCATGAGATAACAAGACATACAATTTTGCTACAATAAGACATATGTTGCTGTGCAAAATCTAGCAATAAAACCATAGGGCTTATGAAACATACGGTAGCACAGCACTCAAAAACTTCATCAGTGATACATAAAAAGAAAGGATTCTAATAAAAATGGTATCAGTTTTACATATGTTAAATGGTTAAGAAATACATAAATATTAGAGTAAATAGTGGCAGGCATGAGGCCTCAGGCTAGTGCTTGGCCTGCATTCCTGTTCCCAAAGAGCCTGAGCTGGCAAAGTTGAAGGTTACAAGTGAGAGGGCAGCCTTAACAAGAAACATCCTGGGCCTCAGTCACAATGGAAGAGGCAGATCGAGGGATAGGATGGTGGAGTTCGTGGGACTAGCCCTCTCTAGACCAGCTCACTTCCTCCTACAGCTACTACTGCACCAGAAGATATATAATAAATATGACACTTTACCTTGAAAAACTTGAAGTTTGCTGGTGGAAGTATCAGAAGTGTTGCAGCTTGTGAATTATTGTGAAGCAGCACAATTTTCTGTTTTTGCATTTCAATTGTTCATAAGCAAACTCAAAAACTGTTATGCTCAAATTAATTCCTAATAAGTCAATCACACTGGAACAAATTTACATTTTCAAAACAAGTGTTATAGAAGAACTGACTGTATCAAAACAAAGTCAAAAGACTGAAAAAATAGAAGAAAGTGTAAGATATCTTATAGCAAAAACAACCTACCTGAAAAACAAATCAAGGAGAGAAAATTTAAGAATCATTGGACTACCCAAAAAAAGAGCTCTTGACATCATATTTAAAAAAAAAAAACAATTTATCCAAAAACCAGAACTTTTAGGTCAAAGAAAAAAAATTCTACAAGCAATCTGAAAGAAATAATTCAAATACTGAAGAGCCACAGTCAGAATTACATACAATTTATCAGCAACTACATAAAGGAGCAGAGAGCTCACAATATAATATTCCAGAAGGCAAAGGATATAAGCTTACAAACAAGAATAACTTCCCCAGAAATACTGAGTATAATCTTACCAGAGAAAGAAAAGCACACTTAATGAAACAGAGGAATTCTAAGCAATCCTAATAAAAAGACCAGAGCTACAGAGAAAATCTGAAGTGCAAACACAAGTCAAGAGAAACACAAAAAGTAAGCATAAGTGAATAATCATACGGAACTAAACAAAGTAAAATTACTTATATTCTAATATGGTGAGATGACACATGAATCCCCTCTGAACCCTATTGTCATCAGGGTACCTAGAGGGAGGACCTAGACAGAGGTCTCAGAAGTGGTTCTGCTGTATTTGGATGATTTTAAAAGAAAAATTAAAAGGGAGGGGAATGGCAATATTCTAGCAGAGAAAAGGGAGACTAACTACGAGAGAAATTACATCACAAAGGGTGCAGTGGATAGAGCACCGGCCCTGAAGTCAGGAGGACCTGATTTCAAATCCGGCCTCAGACCAAACACTTGACACTTACTAGCTGTGTGACCCTGGGCAAGTCACTTAACCCCAATTGCCTAAAAGCAAAAAAAAAAAAAAAAAAAAGAAAGAAAGAAAGAAAAGAAAAGAAATTGCATCACAAAAGTGGGCTGAGAAACTAGAAGTCTATACAAACAAGGATAAAGGGATGAAGGGGAGTGTACGGCACCTGAACCTCACTCTCATCTGAAATGCTCAAAGGAGGGGAAAATACGTACAATTGGGTACAGAAATACATCTCACTCAACAAGTAAACAGAACGGAAAAAGAAGAATGGAGAAAAAGAATAAGAGGTAGAACAGATTAACAGAAGGACTGGTGCTATGCAAGACAAATTCTAAGGAAGTACAATAATATTTATAGTAGTTCTTTTCTGTGATGAAGAATTATACTGTAAGAAACAATGAAGGAGACAGAGTCAAAAAAGCCTGGAAGACTTGTATAAACTGATGCAGAATGAGGTAAGCAGAAACAAGAGAAAAGTGAATAGTAACAACAGTATAGGAAAGATAACTTTCAAATTCTTAGTAACTATAATTAATGCAACAACCAACCATGATTTCAGTTCACTTATGATGAAACACGGTACACATTTCCTTATCAAGAGGTGATGAAATAGGGGGCAACTAGGTGGCGAAGTGGTTAGAGCACCAGTCCTGGAGGCAGGAGACCTGAGTTCAAATCCAGCCTCAGACACATAACACTTACTAGCTATATGACTCTGGGCAAGTCACTTAACCCCAGTTGCCTGGCCAAAAAAAAAAGAGGTGATGAATTCAGAATACATATTGAGCCATTTCTTTTTACATACCCAACACAGCAATTTGTTTTGCTTGTATACATAGCAACATGGGGAGAAAAGAAAACTTAAAAAAAAAAAGATCATGTGGAGAAAAAAAAATAGTCCAACAGATACAGAATTCAAAACTTTTGTTAACTCTTATAAACTAGCTTTGTAGAATATCTGCAACCTTCAGGTTAAATCCTTTGAGTAGTGGATTATAATTAGAAAAATAAATCAAAGGAAAAATTTTTAGCTTTCATTTGGAAATATTTCCAAATCAGAACTAAATCAAATTATTCTATAAAAAATAATTATTTTGCCTTCAAACATAAAAGTAAAATAGGTGAAAGTGATTCAAGATTAGACACACACACATACATACACACACACAAAAGTGAATTTAGAAAATAAGAATCATCTCTTACATATGGCAAATGACCTTTCAAATCATTAGTAAATAATTGAAGTTTAGATTAAATTAGAGGGAGATTTTGGTTAAATATCATCAACTAACAATTAGAGTACCAAAAAAGGCTTACCTAATACTCCAAAATGATTTCTAAGAAAAAATAAGGCTCCAAAACACATACTGCCTGAAAATAT